TGGTGTGTGGTGATGCTGAGCCCTCTCTGAGGGTTTTGGTGCTCTGGCATCCCTCCCCGGGCAGTTGCAGAGCTGGTGTTGCTCTCTTGGGCAAAGTTCTGGTGGCAACAATGACAATATACTCCTCAGTGGTTTTTATACTTGCAGTCTCTGATTAGACAGGGTTTCAGCACTGGGGTTTTAGGTAGAAATTTCCCATATTAATGTGATTGGTTATGATAAATTTAATGAGGAGGGAGGGGAGTCAGCTAGAATGGGAAGTCTTCCCCTGAGGAGTGTCTGCTACCCAAGCTTGACCTTTTTCTGAAGGAAGGATGTCCTAGGGCCAAGTTAAAATTTTATCTTATATTTTCTTTTTGGAACACCGCTGTGTCTCAGCCAAAGCCGCATGTTCCGCTGTATCAAGCCTGAACTGGAAGGGACAATTCAGCCCCTGCCCCATGACGTACAGGGTGACAGGTCTGTAGGTCTGCTCATAGAGATATGATGGTGTTTGTGCTCTAAACCTTCAGTTTAAATGACATTTCCTGATTTCCCCATTGTTTTTCAGTTTGGGAAAGTTCTACATTTACAAGGTGAACCGTCTGAGTCTGCAGTGGTGTATGTGATGCCCCATCTCCATGTTAACCATGGAGATGGGGCATCACATACACCACTGCAGACTCAGACCAGAGGATCCAGAGGAGGTCTTCCTGCCCATGCCAGATGGCTCCTTAGCTGCTTCATTTCCCAGCAATTAGCCTTGGAGCTGGTGGTGGCAGAGGGAGATGAAAGGAAACCTGTCTGTGTTCAAGAAGTTCTAGTGGTTTTTTTTGAATAAAGATGTTTCTCGTGGTGGTGTCTCTGAATTGGTTCAGACTGGATGCTTCTCAGAAGCTGGCATTTGATTTCCCACAGGAGAAGGTGGATTGAGTTAGTGGGGAAAACAATTGTGAATTCTGGAAGCAGAGGGATTGTGGGTCTGTTGCTTTATGGTAGATCCTTCTATTGCCTTTCTATAAAGTTAGGCAATTAAGGGAATGTGGAAACAGAGAAAATTGTCTGTTTATTTGCCTTCTGCTCTCCTCATGTGATGAAACCTTTCCTCCTTGCTTAGAAGAAAAGAGTAGGTTATTTATTCAGACAGAAAGCTAAGCTAGAAGGAAGCTAACTCACATTTCAGCTTATAGAGAAACATAAAGATGTTCATCCTGTCTGGGTTTTTTTTGGGAGGTGGGAGTATTTAACACATGTTTAAGGTTACAGATAGGATTTTAAGTGATTGTAGAAAGTATCCTAATGTGGTATATGGACTGGCTACTGGGACTGGGCTGTTGAAGCTGGGTCAGGTTGGCAGTGGGAGAGTGAAGTGCTGTGCCCCATTTCTTCTGCCTTCTTGCCCTCCCATAAATGCCTTTGATTTCCTTGCACGTCATGTTGCCTTTTAATGAATTTAAAAATACTGCCTATTATATTTTAGGCTAATTTCTTCAGCATCTCAAGTGTCTTGGCTTGCAGGAAGAACACTGGAGAGCATTACTTTTCATTATTTACTGTACTTTGCCGGTGTGCAGATGCAGAATCCACTGCTGGCACCAAGTGGCTGCAGGTGGAAGCTGCTCTGGAGTTGTTGGACTCGCCATCCATCTGTGTTACTGTGTAGATTTTGGAGCTGCAGTTTGGAGGGGAGTAGGACCCCTCTGTTCTTTCTGCAGTTTCCCTGATGGTGGGTGTCAACACAGAGCTGCTCCATCCTGCAGCAGCTGGTGCCCTGCGATGCCAGCTGAGCGATAGCCTTGGCCGTGCTTTTCCTTTCTTTAAGATATATGAAGGGGAAAAAGGCTGTCAGAAGACTTGTTTGCTCGTAGTAAATCTCAGCATGCTCTGCCCTGCGTCCCATCCTTGTGGAGTTTGGGTTTTTTTTCTCCCACCCAAGTGACTGGAAAAATAACCTGAAGAGTAACATCACGTGCATGAAGGCAAAGGATTGCAATTACCTGGGAAAGGACACTATTTTTCCTGCCTTTTGATATATCTGGAGGATTTTAACACTTAACATTGTTCATAGACTGTGTATTGAGTACTGAAAGAAAAATTACTATAAGCTTTGCACCCTCCTTCATTTTCAAGTGCAGACAACAGGCAAACTGTGTTTGGCTGGCCATAAGACATTGAAGAAGGCAGGAGAGCAGAGATGTGGTACCTCTGCTCCCAGACAGGGAGGTGGGAAAGGGGGTGTTAGGGGTAGCTGGGTTTTTTTTAAAAGCTGAAATTAAGGTTTTTCCACTCAAAAATCATTTGAAACCAAATTTCTTTATGTATAAACACGATTGGTAACATATGAGAAGAAAACAGACAGAATTATCTCACTGAAATTTTCCTTTTTCTGCATCATCTTTAAATGACATTCCCTGCTCATCCCTTCTGTAATTAATTTAGATGTATCTGACACTAGCTTGGAGGCAAGTTTTGAACTTTCTTTACCCATCACTGTGATTCTGTCGCTTTTTCTCAGTTCATTGGTGATTATACTTGAATTTGCAAACTGGTTGTTGACCAGCCCCTTTCTAGGCTGGCCTTTGCAATGAATGCTGCTGTGTGCCTGTGTATGGGAGAGCATAATGCTTGGCTGCCAGGAATTGACTTCAGGCCTCTGTGAGTGTTTCAGTTAAATGTTAGAGGTGTTAATTTTAAAATTAGAAAAATCCAGAATAAGAAGCATTAATTAAATGGTTTTCAGACTTTTTTATTTCTCATGAATAATATTTGTGTGATGTTTTGACTCATCACTGCACCTGATGACCACCTGCAGAAATTAAAAATTGGAACCAGTTTTGGAACCCACAGGGAGGGGGGAATGAGTTGGGTTATTCACAGGATCTCAGGACAATTTTGTACTTAAAGAAGTTTGTATAAGTTATTTAAGTTCCTTCATCTTAGATTTGTTTTATCTTTATTTTGTCCTTTAACACAATCTCCCAACTGTGCAATAAATCAAAAGACTTAAGCTCTTTTGCTTCGTGCAGTGGGTCTGCTGTAGGTGAGGCTCTTGCTACTGCTGTGATCAAGACTCGGGCTGTGGCAGCAGAATGGGCACTCTACCTCATTTTCCATAAATTTTGCAAGATGCCAACAGTACTGCAAGCATCAGCATGTTAATCGTGCTCCACAATTGTGCTCTGCTGCTCAGAGCTGGTGAGATCCTCGTACTTTAATATTGGAGTTATTTTTAACAGACACTGTAGAAAGCTTTGCCTCCAGAAGAGCTTTCTCCGCCTGCCTTGGCTCACGTCTTAGCCAATGCGATAGCACTTGTTGATTTTTATTTTCCTTGTAGTACAGAGGAATCCCCAGTGCCTGGTCTAGACCAGATTGCCCAAACACAGAGTTTGCGTTTCCCTATGCCTCTGTCCGTCCTCTCCTTGCTTGAGTGATGGTTGAAAGCATGCCAGTAGAACCTGCCAGGAAACTTTTAGGCCGGTACGCTTCATTTTCATAATGTAAAAGGATTAGTGGGTGCCAAGTGGCATCAGGCAAACTCTTGGGGGGAAAAATTTGTCATGTGGCTATTTAGACAAGTTGGTCCAGATGCAATTTCCCACCAAGGAAATCCCTAAAACCCCGAGGACCAGAAGCTGAGGAGGTGAATTGCATAGCATAGTCAAAGAGCACATATATGAAAAGCATATATAGCCAGTCGTATCTGGAGCTCTGCCTGCACACAGGTTGAAAGCAAGGCTGGTGGGTCTGCTGGCTTTCATCTCCCCACCTTGATCTCAGTCGAGTGCCTTGATGACTTTTGTCTTAGCTGTGTAATTAAGCACAGAAGAGTGGTTAAGGCAGAAGTGGTTAACTTGCTGAGCAATATAACGTCACGTCAGTGGTACTGAGTTGTTCTGTAGGAGTTTAAAATTTAATTTTGTTGTTAAATGTCATCCTCTGGTTTGGGATCAGCTATACTGTAGGTCATGTGTTTTCTGATAAATTGGAAGGAAATCAAATAAGGGATCCTGAGTGCTGAGATCTGTAAAACTGAAGTTGGTTGAAGTCTAACACTGATGTTTCTAGAGCCTCAAAGAGGTGGCGAGGAGGAAAGGAAAAGATCAAACCTGCATTATTCATCTAACAGAGACGTGGCGCTCAAACTCAGCACCTTCCCAAGTCAGAATTGCTCTGCCCTTCTCCCCTGCAGCAAAAGCCAGGAGAACATAAACTAGTGCTGAAGAGGTGGATTAATGGAGAAGACCTTTCTCTCTTGAAAGGCTTGTGGGAAGTTCTGCAGGGGCCTCACAGCAGTGTTCGTAAAGGTCTTAGGACAAGGAGAACTTCCTAGGACTAGGGAAGGTGAGGCCTGGAGATGTCCATGAACCTTCCCTTGCTGAATCCACCTCTACAGAGCTCGGGGGAGTAAAGAACTACAATGAGACTTAGTTTTTGCAAGATTTTTCTTTCCTGGTGTATTAACCACCAACCCCCTTTACAGCAATCATGGAACAGCTGCTACATACACTTCTTTTGAAGCACACACTTGCATGTTAGCTCAGTCCTGCACAGATTTTTAATCAATCAGAAGATGTCACTGCAGCAGCCAAAAATTCTTTGGATGCTTATTCAGATGTCCAAGTAGGAGGTGCCTGGGGAGAATACCTTAGTATTTGTTCTTGCTTTTCACTCCTTTGGAGACCTGTGGATACTAGCTTGGTTCTAAGTCAAAGTGATCATCCTGCCTTTTCAAGTCCAGCTGTATAAATGCTGTCCTCCTGCCAGCTAAAACTAGGAGGGCGAGATACAAGGACTTCTTCCAGAGGTTGTCCAAGGAATAGCACATAAAGTGTTGACTTACTGATGGACATGACGGTCTTGGGGGAAGCAAGTATTCAAATGCATTAGGATTTCTCCTTCAGCAGTGTTTCCTGCAATGTTCATTTTTTATTACAGTGCCTTTTTACACCCTTCCTCTGAACAGAGCTTTCTGCTGCGCAGCCTTGTTTTCCATCTCCCCCTTTTTTTTTCCCTTCCAGTTTGAGCGGCACGACCCAGTGGAGGGGCGGATCACGGAGCGGCAGTTTGGCAGCATGCTGCTGGCCTACAGCGGGGTGCAGTCTAAGAAGCTCACTGTCATGCTGAAGCAGCTCAAGAAGCACTTCCAAGACGGAGAGGTCAGTGGTATTGGTGGCAAACTCGGGAAGTTGCGGTGGGGGCAGCCATCCCACGCCACGCTGAGCCATGAGTAAGCAATCTCCATCTTCCTAAGAAAAGCACCTGCACCTTGTTAAGCAGTGCGAGGAGACATGCTGAGTTTGCAGATGATAAATACTGCCAGCAGCAGGGAGATGGAAGAGGTGGGAGTGCAGTGGTCAGTGACCAGATCAGAGTGTAGGCTTCTGCCTATTAAAATAGATGCTGTAATTTTCAAAATTTAAATTCACTGAACGGCACATTGGGTTTGGAGCCAGAATAAACATTGAAGATGTGTTCCTGGTTACTGTCTTGACCTTGGATTAATTAGCTGCTGCTACTGCTGGGCAGTTTATTATTTACTTATGAACTTATGTGAAAAATTATTTGAATTACTCATGATTTAGAGAGAAATAAGGTTGCAGATCCTACATTCATTAATTTAGTGCTTTATCAGGTAAGGCAAGTATGGGCTGCTAAATTAATTCAGTATTAGAATTGCACGTCTGCTTCTATAAAGATGAATTGTTCTTTTAATAACTAGATTATAAACAAGCAATTCGTTAAAATGAGAAAGAATAGAAAGTCTTTGGCTGCATATGGGGTCAGTCTGACTGTTTTAGAGCTGCTTCCTCCTGACACCAGAACTGCCATTTATTTCTTAACTGGTTTAGGTGCAAAGTGTGTTATAAAACACAAGTGTTGGCCAGAGTCTAGTCCTTTTTTGTCCCTTTTTGATGTATTAACTGGACTTCTGTGATGTGCAAGAATACTCAGTTCAGGTGAAGCCACTCCAGTGACCTTTTTCCCCAAATTTTCTCCCTCTTTGACTGGTGCTGGAGGAGAATTTGGGCATACTGAAACAGCAGGGCACATAGGCTCATAGGTCTCTATTAACTGCAAGTAATGCTAACCAGTTAAAAGCTGGAAGAAACCATAAGTGAGCCAAAAGGCCATGCTCAGAGGTGCTGCGGTACCTGCAGCTTTTCATGGCCTTGGGTTGCCAGAAGGATCATTTTTTGCAGTTTCCCCTCATGTTTTATGGGAAAATAGGCTCAATATTTAATAGGCTGTTATCAATAGATGGTGTCAACTTGCCATCGGAGCTGAGACGCATTGCATGTTAATATTTGGAAATCTCACTTCTCAAGCTCTTTGTCACTGGCTTAAATAAGAGCATTAATGTTTCCAAGGTTGTGTGCGTTTATTTGATCTTGGAGTGAGATGCTGCAAGATTCAGCTTTTCCAGTACCTCTGCCCCCCTTGAGTTTTAACAGGAATAATCTGATTTCTTGTGGAAAAAATACTTAACTGTGATTTGTCTAACAGAAAATACCAGCTCTGTTGTTAACATTCCCAAACTGTCGATCCTTTTGCTGTGATTTGGGTTTTTTGTATATACAAGTATACACACACCCACACACATATATATATTATTGAACAGTAGCTGAGTGTTATGAGAAATTAGGCAGAGGGACTTACGGTGGAAGGTTTCTTACAGCAGATGTTTTCTTCCTTTCATGTGCAAGCCAAAACCCTGACATCTGTGGCAGAGGAAGAACTTTTTGTTTTTACCTTATTCCTCATCCCCAAATCAGCCAGACTGTGTTTCTATTTGCAGATAACCGCATTCAGAGCAGGTCTTTTTCTTTCTTTCTTTCTTTCTTCCAAGGACTTTCAAGGAGAGAAGTTGGGGAATAGGACAAAAAATGTTTGCAAGAAACAGAATTGGTGGAAAACACACAATTCCTTAGACAGGGTGGGGGTGAAACACCTCAAATCCCAAAGTGAGACAGCGGCCTCTCTGTTCAAGATATTTAACGGTTCAAGGAGATGTAAAGGATGTAAGAAGTGCCAACTGCTCTGCGTTGGAAGCAGATAAGCCTTTCTTGCAGCCAGGGCAGCTCAAAGTCAATGCTTATGCAGAGCTAGAGAAATCAGGCACTGAAATCCTCCACTGCAGCAGGTTTTAGCTCATGGAAAATGCAGCCTAGAGCCTAACTTGGCATTGTCTTTTATACAAGAGAACCTTTTCTTGAAAGTTTGCGAGGTTCTTTTTCCCCCTGGGGTATTTTAGAAGACCATATCCCTTGCAAGATTTGTGTGCAGCACTTTGTATCTAAATACACTTATTGGATGCAACAGTACTTTTATTGGATCACCCTGATGCAACTGTCAGTGTTTTTACATAGCTTAAATTTCTCCATCTCTTTAGAAAAAGGACTGCCATGACCAGAATAACTTTAACCATCTTCTGAGCTTTCTGGATAACCTAATCAGGGTTGCAGAGTTTTCTTTGTAAATGAATGGAGTATTAAGCTAGAGAGCGTTTTCCCACTTGAAACTGCAGAAGCTCGATGCTGGCATTCCTTCTTCCTCTGCTTTTGTAACCCAGACATCTGCACACCAAGCAGCTGCTTCTATCGCGCTCTGCTTTACTCCCATCCTATACAAAGGGAGCGGAGCCGATGCTATCCACTGCTCTCCCTTCAGCTCCCAGATCTCCAAGAGATGTTAAAGCCACCCAGCCACATCATTTATCCTGCAGTACTTTCCAGTCACTGAACAACTTCTAGGTCAGAGATGGTTACAATGCAAACATATTTTGCAGGAAGAATTTTTCCCCAAATCCCTTCTTTTCACACTTCACTAGCCTACTTCTGTAGCAGCATAGTATTGTTATCTGCACAGTTATACTAACCTGCTGTAACTCCCCTCTACACCAAAAGGAGTAGGGACTTTGACTTGCTATTGCTTTCCAAAGAGGGAGTAAAATAATCTTAAAAGTGTGGTGCTGGGAGTAATTGTACCAAACCTACCCAGCAAGCTTTATCTTGGAAATGCAATTTACCTTGTGAATGCTTTCTTATGAAATCTGCCAAACATCATCTTTGTCTGATGCAACTACCTTTTCTGCACAAGGCAACCCCGGCAGCCTCCAAAATGTTAAAGCTGTGGTTTTAATCTAACTTTTAGCCATTTTCCAACATCATTATTCTACATTCCTTTTTTTTTTGCTTTTGAGAATGGCATGTTTTCTTGTATTAACTGATAATCTGCTTTCATTTTGGCTTTTCTTGAAAGAAAATCCCATTTTACCCTGGATATGTGAACTCTTCAAGTTATACTTACACAGCTGCTTTTCTCCTAGTTAAAAAGGACTTGAGTTGTTTGTAGTATTTACAAGCAAGGTATTTGGTTTATGTCTCCCTAACCTCTGGAAAACACGTCCTTTGGGGGCTGTGTAGCATGTTTTTCTGTTGAGATGGTAGAGGCTGGAAGTGAGATGTAATTCTCCTTGGTTGAAACCTGGATTTCCAGGTGAAAAGCTCTAACTTTTGCAGAAAGTGTTTGAGCTGTTGTAAGGTGCATGTTGCAAGCAGATGTGTGTTTCTGGAGTCTGCCTGCTTATGTAGTGCTAGTATTACTTAAATGGTGAAAGGATTCTATCTTATGGATCAAAGGCTAGATCTACAAATGCCTTGAAAGAAGTGATCATCCAGATCCCATAATTGCTTCCCTGGTTCCTTCCAGGTATCCAATTTCTTGTGATTCCAAATTAACACAAGCCTCTGTTATATAATGGAAACATCTATCGGTCTTTCAGTTGAGACGTGAATAACTTACAAAGGACCAAGCAGTGCTGACAAACACATTGACAGGGAATAGATAAATTCCCATACTCAGACTTGTGACTGATGAAGGTGATCATTCATCTGTTGACTTGTCAGTGCAAGCCTGAGACTGTTCCACTCTCTGATTTTATTTTTATTTTGGTAGCTGGAAAGGAGAGTTAATGCTAATGCCAGCCTCAATTATAGGATTCATCAGTAAAATATTAAATTTCATAATACTGATGGCATTTTTGCTACAGAGATTCAGTATCTCTGTCCACTTGAAAGCCCAGATTTGTAGGATACCCCCGTACATCATTGGTTTTGCTTTTTCAGCTGGTGAAAGGACCACGAGTTTACATATGTAAGTATGTAAACCTTCCCTGTCACCCATTAAAGCAATAGCAACCGCAGTGTTGGTACTAAACAAGGGACCATTTTGCACGAACAGCAATGCTGTTTGGCCTTGACATCTGCCATTTTGGGGTGGAAAATTCCAGGAAAATGTAAAGTTAGGGCTCTTTGCTTAGAATAGCTTCTGGGATGCCTTGCAGCCACTACTGCAAACCTCAGATGTCCCAAACAGAGCAGGTAAACCACAACACAGTGTCATCTGCTGGCCTGAAAGTAGCCACACACCTCCCAGTTTCTGCAGGCTTTCCACATTTTTAGTGCTCTGCTCCCAGGCAGGAGCATGTCAGTCAGGAAATGCATAGCAGGGAGGTGTCCGGATGGGCATCTGAATTGCAAAGGTCTTTTCTCCTCTAGATCTCTTGTACAAAGCAGAGAAATCTTTTCAGTACTTCTTGCAGAAGTACCTAATTTTTTTATTTTTTTTTTCTAGGACAGTATTTTATTTAATTTTGACATAGGTCTTTTACCACACTGCTTGGGAAGTGGAGCAGGTACACAATTAAAGATCCCTGTACAGTAACTGTTTTTTTTGATTGATTGGTTGGAGTTTGTTTTTTGGGGTTTTTTTTTTCAGATCCATTGTCCATGTGTGCATTTTGCTACCTCATCATTTTTGGTCTAGATTCATGAATCCAGTGCTGTCAGAGCCTGCTGTTGCACTTGGTGTGCACACCGTGCAACGTGCATCAGCATTGTGTTGCCACTTGCTCAGTTACAGGGAAGATGGGAACAAGCTGCAAATTTTCTGTAATTCTTCTGCTTAGAATTCTAGAAGTGCCATGTCTGTATGAGAAGATTGTAAAAAATGTGCTGCTTCTTTCCAAAAAAGATAGATGGCTTCTTCCCTGATTAGAAGTTGTTGGGAAGAGTTTGAGCAGGGTTACAATGGATCATATAAATTTATATTTGACAGTACCTGCTGAATGTGTGGTCTTCCATCCAGACCATGAAACGGTGCCGTGTTATGCTGTTGGGATTTTTAGTATCTTGCTATATCATTCTGTCGTGCTAGACAGGATAGGAGGAGCCTGAGCATGAACTCCTCTTGACAAGCTGATTTATATCTTTGAGAGAGGAAGGCTGAGTGGTTGTTACCGCAGTGATGATTTACCTCCTCCATTGGCTCTGAGCTGTGGTGGTGGAGTTTGGAGGCTACAGCTCTTGTCTCAGCACAGATGCAGCCGTGCTGGTGCTGAATGGGTCAATGAAGTCGGGTGTTGTGTTGTGTAGTGTAACAGGGTGGGGGTCCCAGAGCTGTGCTTGTCAGCAGTTGCTCTCCTGGCGTGCTCCTCGCCGGCTGGATTGGTGCCAAGACGAGTGTGTCACTTATCCCCTGCCTGCCCATCGGCTGTGCTGGGATGCAGCCGTGCCAGCGCTGGGGGATCTCAGGATGCCTTTCCATTACTATCTGGGTGCATGGCTGTGGGTGCTCACCAAGCACACGCTTGTCCGTCCCGGAGCAAGCCATGGCCTGGGTGACTGCGCCCAGTAAGTAGAGCAGATGGCAATCCAGCCCCACAGCCGTCCTGCCACCAGCAGCAAAGCTAAATGGGGCACATCTATATGTGCTGTGGTTTGCAGTTTCACCTTCTGCGACACTGGGTAAGACATGGATCCTCCGAGGGATCCCTGAATCTCTTGGGGGAGACCTTGCAGTGCATGAACTATTTAATTTTTGTCATTGCAGGTGTGCAAGGTTTTAAAAAAAAATTATAAATTAACCTGCTTGCAGCGGTCTCCTGCAACCCAACCACAGGCTCATGGTGTGTCTGTCTGCTCTTCTGGGTGAGAGCTGGCTGCAGAGTGAGGGCCAAAGAAATGCTTTTTGGTCTCTGCCACTGCTGACTCTGCATGGGGAAGTCTCTTCCCGTTGCACAAGTATTGGGGCTGGGAGGGGAGCAGAGGTGGTTAACAAAAGTACTTGTCAAAAACCATGCCCTCAAGTGCCAAGGTAGGAGTGTTTTGAGTGTGCAGATGAATTCCTTTCTGGCTACAGCTTTGGGCTGATGAGTCATTTTGTCATTTGTAATCCAGGTAGTGTCATGATCTCCTTTTCCTATCACCATAAAACTGTCTTTTCTTCATCCCAGGGGCTGACATTTGAGGAGGTGGAGAGCTTCTTCACTTTTCTGAAGAACATAAATGACGTGGACACAGCTTTGAGTTTCTACCACATGGCTGGAGCTTCGCTTGATAAAGGTATTAGAGCTTGTGAGATGGACAGCTGAGGGAGCACGACACATTCTGTGTCTTTGGAGTTGAGAAGATGTCAAATGAGTCCAGCCTGACAGATTAAAAATGTACCAAAACCGCAGTTGCTCCTGTAATGAGAGGTTTAACTTCCTACGTCCATGGACAAAGAGGAATTTCAGGTTTTATATTTCCCCAGTTTTAGATATAGAGGGGGAAAAAAAGCTGAAATGTATAGCCTGAATAGATCAGGAAGAGGTGATTTCATGGTGACTGATTAGTAAGTGTTGATATCGTGGTGATATCTTCAGCAGAACGGTTCAGGCCTGGTGCGTGCAGAGGCAAGGTGACCCTAGGGAGTGTAGCACAGGCTCTGGTACCAGATACCAAGCACACTCGTGTTTTTTCTTCATCCCTCTTTTCTGAAGTTATTTGTTTTTTTCTCCTTTTACAAAGTACTTGAAAAATTATTGTTGGCAAAGACAAGCAGTATTGTAAGTATTCTTGCAAGCTGTATCTTCTGTAGAGATCTCTGTGATTGATGTGGCAGAGGCACTAACCAGTAGTGGAGCTGGTAGTAGAACTGTTCAACCCTTTTTTTATTTCAGCTTTGCTTAGAAATAAGAGACTTTACCTAGAAATAAGAGCTGTATGGCCAGATGCTGCATTTCTAATTTGAAATCCAAATAATAGCAAGCACCTTTGGAGCTCCCAGGCATGCTGGAGGGAAGGAGTGGGAGCACTGGAACCGCACTGAGGTCTCAGACTGAGCATTAAAATCTGTCCAGAGCAGGCTCTCTTCAGATAACCCACAGGCCAGAGGCTGCGAGTGACCAGAGGAGCTGGCTGAATAAACCTCAGAGCTGATGTTTCTTGGGGAGGTTGGTAACAGTGTGGTTTATCGATCAGACCAATCCATATCCTTCTTCATGTCATTGTGTATTTCCTTTTCAGAGCTAACCTATATCAGGTATGTTCTCAGATGTGACACACTGATTTAAAAAAAAAACCCCAAAACCCCCCCCAAAAAAGTCCAGCTCTTTGCTGCCAGGATCTGTCACAATTATTTGCTTTTCTTTTCTAGACCTTTTTTTAAGGCTTGCTTTTTTTTTTTTTTTAAACACTCGGACTGAAGGTATAAAAAAACCAATGGCAAACTCATTAGAAGTTTTTGGGCTAAGTGGAAAGTCTTGCCTACTGGAAAGGTAAAGCTGATGTATTTAGGCAGCTGCAAAATTAGATGTTTTGGAAGTAAGCTATTCTTCCAACTGCTGCTGTTGTGGGAATATTAAGACATTAATAGGTTTTTAGGCAGCAGAATTACAAAGGGAGTCAAATGTGTCACAGCTCTTGTGTGTGTCAACAGCCCTCCTCATTTTAGATTTTTTGGGGAAAATCATCTGTACTCTTTGTTTTGGATCACTATTATCTTAAGATTTCAAGTTAAAAGAACCTGATAGGATTTTCTTTCATTTAAAAGTAAAGATATGAAGTATGGATGTGTTGCTGCTGTGCAGAGCCCTTTCTGCAGCATCCCACAAGGTGGTAATAGCCCAGCAAATCCAATTTACTCAGTGTCTGGAGTAAATTAGCAATTGCCCAGTCGTAGAATATGTATTTGTGGAGTATTTAGGTCCACATGCAGTTGGTAAATCAGCACAATTGTTGTTTCGTTATGTGCGATTAATGAGCTTGTGCTGGAGCCACAGCCATTGAGCTGGGAGTATTTGGCTGGAGTAAGTAAATCTTGAGGAGAGTGTGATGTGTGGGGCATGGCTTCAAACTGCTCATGGGCTCAGCTGTCCCCAGGCCCCCATCCCTGCCTGCAGGGTCCCTGCTGTTGGGAGAGATTTCCTCGGGCTCGGGCAGGAGAGGAGGGTTATCCTGCAAATCCCCTCTTCCCGCGTGTCTGGTAGCTGACACAAATCACCCCTTGCTTCCTTCTCTGCTGCTCAACCCAGAGATGTTCTGGGTTGAGCAGCAGAGAAGAGAACATGAAGAGAACATTTGGCTGTGGTCTGGATATTGCACCCACGAATCAAATAAGCAATAAATAAGGTGTACTCTTCCAAACGTCAAGCTTTCACAAGGTTGCTTATTAGAAACCAACAAATGTAAAAATTACTCATCATATGAGGAGAAGGAAGAGAATAGTTTGTGTATCAAATAAATTGCTACTAACCTAATGCAGCAAACATTAGTATAATTTTAAAAGAGCCATTTAAAACTTAAGAGGAAAAAAATGAATGGCACCAAACAGCCATAGCTTGACAACCTGTTTTCTGTGTTGAATTATAGTAGCCTCTTCTTCTAAAAAGGATCATAAACCTGTATTTTAATGATGCATAGAATAACACACAGCTTATTTATTAATCCATCTTTCATTTTACCAGAAAGATAATAGCTGTCATTCACTTAAATCATAAGCATTACTTAGAAAACTTTCCCAGCCTGGGCTTACAGCTGGCAGCAGCATAGGAGCTGAATTCATCGCTTATTCCCCATTCAAGGCGAGAGTGAGAATTGCACTTTTTTTTGGCACTGTCTACAGCCAGACTTTCCAAGCAGCCGTTCAGCTGGCGCCGGCACAGAGCCACGGTATAACTCCTCTGTGCTGGAGGGCAAGGCACAGATGTGCTTCGCTAAAGATGGGCCAAAGCGAGGGGAGATGGCTGAGCCTGCTGCTCGCTTGGGTGGCTCAGCCAGCTTGGAGCAGGGCTGGAGCCCAGGAAGGGTTAATGGAAGATCATTTTATTTGAAGTATGGAGCTTAAAAAGGCTGCAGACGTGACAGAGAATTTGGAAGGAGGTGGAGGTGAGTTTTCAGTGCAGCACGTATTTGTCATCAAATTGCTGCTTGCTTTAATCTGCCTTTGGAGCTGGATGAAATCAGTCAGTCCTCCATGGAGGCATAGCTCAGATCGTTCCTCTGGAGTAATGGTGTGTAGTCAACGCTGGTAGTTGGGTGGGGAGGAGTTCTGTAGGGGAGGTGAGACCCTCTAGTCCAACAGGGTCACCTACAGCAGCTTGCCCAGGGCTGTTTACAGTCAGGTTTTGGATGTCTCCAAGGTTGGAGATGCCACAGCCTCTCTGGGCATGTAGGAAAGCTTGGATGAGTATTTGCAATAATTTGTGAGAAGAAGAGTCAAACAATGAAATCTGGTGTCCTGCAGAAGCAAGTCGGGGTCACGGGTTGTCACCTTTGCTGCCCTCACGCCTGTACGCTGAGGTATGTGTTATGTGTGTGTACACGTGTGTCCTGATAGAGAGGCACCGTGGAAGTGCTTGGCACCGTGTCCTCAAGCAGGAGGGCTCTGGAGCTCACCTGCCCTTTGGTTTCAGTGCACACACAATTACGGTGTGGTGTTTGCTGAGCACCGATCCAGTGAGCTGCTGGCAAAGCTCCATCACAGCAGAGGATGCCCATCCACAAGGCTTTAAGAAATCAGCTCAGTAACCCTGAGGACAAGTTCTCCATAGATCTGCAGCTCCTGGAAGACGCTGAATACCTTTCAGCTTAGCAACTACTTTCTGTGTTAGAATCTCCCTTCTTTACTTATTTATGACTGCGAATATTACATAAACATTGGATGGGCTCTGCCTTTGGTCTGGTAGCTCTGCTTTTTAGCAGAAGCGTGATCTCCATGACTTTCTGTCCTGTTCCCTTTGATGTCAATACAGTTTCTACTCAGCTGCAGGGCTGCAGCCTTGGATTTTGAAAAGAAAAATGTGCTGGGCCACAGGATTATGTAGGGTTTGTACATCTCTCTTCTGGATGGATATTCTGGTACATACACATGCAAATGATTTGAAAAAAGTTAAATAGATTTTTGCTAACTATCTTGTCAGTGATAGCATCCAACATTTCCAGCTGGGATGCTTAAAATGAAATGTCCTTAGCAATGTGAGACCCTACGTAGCTTGACTTCTAGGAGCCCAAAATACATGTGTCCTGTCTCCTCAGCCTGGGATTGCCCAGGGCAGGCAACTCTGCGCCCATCACCCTGGGTACTGTTTGGGAAACAAAGGCAGCAGCCCAGCTGCCCATTATTTTAGCCAAATATTTGATTAATCCCAAGATGGAGGAAAAAAGTGAAGTTTGCCATCTGGCTGGGCTCTCGCCCGTTGAAAAGGCCTGTTTGTAAGCACTTGGTGAGGCATTACTCACCGTGCGGTTCTGGGAATTGGAGTGAAAAAAGGTAACAACTGTGTCAGACACTAAACTTGCATAAAATAACTCAGAGGGCTCCTTAAAGGAACCAGTGGGAGACACTAACACTTGAAATTTTAAAAGCCGCATAGCTTTTCAAGATAGAAACATGTAACTCTCTTTCAGTGGTATAAAATCTAGGAGATTTTCCCATGTAGAGATAGATGTAACCATCCTAAAACTCCAAATCTGGACAAGCTTTGTTTTAGGAGATGTTTCCCCAGACAGCACCTATTTAATTTTGTGGAATGGTAAAGAAATGATACCGAGAGGTTTACTTCAATGTTATTTGCCTCTCCAAGATGCCTTTTAGTCTGGAGTGTGTGTCAAAGTGGAAAGCAGAGGCACTTTCCCCTTCCTTATGACTCCTTAAAAACCAACAAAATGGTTACCGAGCACAGCACAGTCACGCAGCCCCTGTGAAATAACATCTTTGCATTGAGCAAGAACAGTGTGATGGAGATGACACTTGAGTGGTTGGGTTAATAAGAGAGGAAGCAGTAACTGGTGGCTATAAGTACCAGAGCCCGGCTCTGGTATAAGTACCAGAGTACCAGCTCTATAAATTAGAGCTGGTAAAACTGCGGCCGTGAAAAATAAATAAACACACCTCGAAGAGGAGGGAGAGGTCAGGTGACACCCTGTAGAAATGGAAGGAGTGGGTTGAAAACTCAGCAGAAAAACATTACTTATAATTAAATAAATCATTCTTTTCTTTTTTTTTTTTTCCTTATAAAGCTATAGCAAATAACTTCTTCAGTAGGGTAACCAGGGCACCAGGAGGAGAGGATGGTATCAAAGCTTGGTTGAGCACCTTTAAAGAAGTTTTACGTTTAAAAGGAGTTAAGTGAAACTCAGTTTTGCTGCCTAAGGAAATACAAATTTGCTTTTGCTGTCCAAAAATCTGGGTCTCGGGTAAGAGATGGCTTACAGTGCTTAAAACCTCTGCTATTGATATTTTTTATGGGGAAAAAATAAACTGAGAAATAAGTTTAGATTAAACTCTTTCTTTTACCTTAACCTCTTATTTTTCCTTGAGGTTTACACATGTTCCTGAAGTCCCCTAGCAGCATGCGTGGTGGGTAGGAGCTGCAGCTCATGTTTTGCAGCTGGCTGGTGCCAGGACTGTATTTAGGGAATGAGTATCACCTGATTGGGGAGTAAAGGGCACCTTTTACAAAGGCACGTATAAAATCCCGAGGCAGGGCGTTTATCTTGGTAAAAAGGACAGTGCCATCCACCGTTTGGCTCTGGCATTTGCTGCCACTTCGTGTTCGTGGCGTTTGATCAAAGAGGATTTGTAAATGCTGCATTGTACCTGTGCCATTTACAGTCACCCTCTCCCCTGATTTGGGGTATGTGTGATGCTGGCCATCAGTCCCTCCCTCTCGGATCAAGGGGGAAAGCTGAAAGTAGCTTTGTCATTTAATTTGTGAGCATTTATGTCAGTGTGAGCTAATTAAATGGAGGACTGTTAAAGCCTTTTTTGGGGGGCTGCTGCCACCTAATGCACCCGCTCGCTTGTGTTGCAGTTCTTTCATTCCATTGTGTTGCATTTTGCTGACTAATTTGTGCGTATTCAGAAGAGAGCTGAAAGGAAAGGGATGCACAGATGTGGTGGCTATCCCTGTGCTTAAAATATGAATTCCCCCATTTCCTTTGCTATCCAGGTTTTCTTGAGAGCTGTGCTGCGTGCGTGGTGCGGTACATTCTGCAGCCTGCTTGGCTTGGGTGGGCTGGGAGACACATACGGTCTCCCCA